CAACACCACAATACTACATAATGGCGCGAACTTCGGAAGCTGCAGCAGCGTGGGGCATCATCCTTCGACAAGTCATCATCCAGAAAACGGTCAGTAGCGCGAATATCTTCGTAAGTTTCGCCGGTATATTTCCGCGGTGGTACGCTGTACCGAATTGTTTTGACCAATCATAATAGAATCGACCTCGAGTTGTCTGAGTGTTCACTTATTAGCCAATCATAGACATCTGATTTAAATTGAAGAGTGTTTAAATAAAGAGTGTAAACAAATGGATTGAAAGAATGTTTTATGGAAGAAATGAATTTTTAAAAATATAGAAGATATAAAAATAAAAATGTATTTTATAAATCAAATATGGAATGTAAATGGTAGAGTTTAACCCTTCTAGCCCGGGACTCTGTACTCTACAGATTAAACAATATAATAGGATAAACCATTCGGTAATGTTCCCTATTGGTACGAACTCCGCATATAAATATTTGTATTGCAACATTATCATGTAGGATCGGCGCTAGGAAGATTTGTTGCGATAAATAAAAAAGCCAGTATAAACGACGGGGAGGTTTGAAAATTTGAAAAGAAAGCTACAAGTATCCCCCCCTTTGAAGCCTTCCATTTTCAAGAACTCAGCATGAATAACCCCGACGAGAAGACGTTCAACCAGCTGTGGCGTCAGCTCTCGGGCGGAGGTTGGAAGGCGCGTAAGCCCAAGGGACTAAGCACTGACTTTACTTATGTAAAACCTGGGGTCAAGGGTCGGTTAGATCCGCCCAAGCGAGGCGAAAGCTATTTTGTTGGTACGTGACAGTGCCAATTCTCTATTTCTACGGCTATTATCTCACGCTCTATTTATTAGGTGAGCCGGAGCTCATGGCATTTGGCCGGAAGGAGGGCCTGCTGGCGTTGGGTCTGCTGGCAGAACCCCAGCATCGCTTAGATTTGTCGGGTCAGGTCCAGTTGCCAGCTGATCCTGCTCCATTGAACGCTGCAGACATTTCTGAAGAGGAAGGAGCTGCTACAGTGAACAATGGTGCAGATTCAGTGGCTTCTGACACATTATCTCCCCGGGTTACTGTTGCGGAAGCTGCTCTACCAGTTCTGCACAATACAGAACAAGGCAGTGTCGCACCCCATCCTATTCTGGATGATGCAGATTACCACGATCAGCATCGTCACTTGGACGATGCGAAGAGCGAAATTGATGGCCGTGATGATGACCCTCTGGATGAGTTCGACGGCGATTACTTTTTGGATGCGATGCGGAGTGAGAATCTGTTTGACAGCATTAGGTCTGACGACGTCAACTTTGTCTAGAATGCAGACAATAATTGCTCTGAGTCGGAAGCCGATGATGACGACAATGGCGACGACGACGCAAGCGACGAAGCAGTTAACGACGTTGAGGAGCTTGATAGTGACGAGGAAATGGATTACACCTTTGACATGGCACCCGAAGACCTTCGTCAACTTGGTTCTAGCGGCTGGGAGACTTACGATGAGGACCACAGTAGTAATTCCGAATTATACAGAACAAGCATACTAGTACAATGACTTACTCTGTATTTCATGCATTGTGTAGCTGACGAACGCTTGGATGCTGCCAATGATTATTACACTGGGCCTTCAGGACCAACCCGCTCTGCTACTACTTTTGCGGACTCCCCAATGGGAATGTTCTTCTAGTTTCTGCCTAAAGCGATGTGGAAGAGAATTGCAGATGAGACGAACCGTTACCGTGAGCAAAATATCCCTGTCTTGGCTGCATCCCGACGCACCGAACTTCTGAAGCGACAGCAAAAAGACCCAGGTGTCAGCGTACCCAGTGTCGAGGAGATCATGAGCGGCTTGCAGAAGTTCAAATCCATCAAAGCACACGAAATTGTGCATGTGATAGCGCTGCTATTTGCTCGAGCTGTGGCCCCCATTCGCGACGGACTCGCTGGCCATTGGCGTCAAGGTGAAGATGGTGCGATTCCCAGGGGAACCTTCTCTCGCTACATGGAACGTGAGCGCTTTGAGGTCATCATGAAATTTCTACACTTGAACGACAGCTCTAATAGTTCAGCCGCGCAAGATCGAGCTTGGAAAATTCGTCCAGTATTACAAACAGTGGAGAAAACGTTTCGTCGTGGATATCGCCTCGGTAAGGCGATTTCGTTTGATGAGGGGATGATTCCCAACCGCAGTAAGTTCAACCCAGTCCGTGCCTACGTGCCGAACAAGCCCAGCAATGACGGAACAAAGTTCTAGCTTACCTGTTGAGCTGAGACAGCATACAGCGCAAGGTAAGTCACCTCATGCTGTGTATTACGGAATGTGTACTGCTGTATTGTACAGAATAAGCTAAATTCTAATACTCGTATTATGAGTTTGTATCTGTAGACTGGAGATTTATTGTGGTGCTGACAAAAAGAAAGCCAAACGAGGCGAAGTGCTGGGGGCGGGCCCAAGGCCGTATTGCGCAATATCTCAAAGGCACTGAGTGGACAGCTCACCAAGCGTCTGATAGTGACAGACCGCTTTTATTCTACTGTGTCACTCAGCCTGAAGTTGCTGAAAATGGGCTTGGACCACGTGGGTACGACTCGGCCAGATCGTCTCGGCTGGTGTAACGATATCAAATTCAGGCAGAAGCAGCGTCCGCAGAACATGGCGCGAGGCACGTATCGTATTGCAAAGTCTCGCCAGCATCCAGAGCTGGTAGCGTTGAGCTGGATGGATTCGCAGGCTGTGTACATGCTTGCTACGGGACGACCTTCCCGTCGGCCAGTCGCACTGACACCGTCCCGGTTGCCCTTGCTTTCTCTCAAGCATCGGACAGCTTGTGCTATTACGAGCAACCTTCGGCGGCGTTCGAAATTCTTCAACACCCAAAATCGATCAAGGATTTTAATGGG